AAAGTAAGTGCCAAAGCCAAGTCAGCGTTTCCTTCTCTCTTCCTTGAATACAAAGTGGAGCCCAGTGAAAAAGCCCAAGCGCGCAGCTCGAGACTCCCAGGGTGCCCGCTCAGGAGGAGCCATCTGGAAATAGAGCAGGGGAAAGAAAACCAAACGCGCTGCACCCCAGCCAGATCCCCTGGAGTAAAGGAGTAAACCCAGGATGTTTTGTGTAAATTAGTACGTACTGGCACACAGGCATATTAATTAAATGACAAAGCCTGGCGCTGGAGGCAGCTGTTGGGCAGAGAGCTTCCTTCCAGCACCCTCCCCCAGCTCTGCCAGAGACCATAAAAGATCTCTCCATGCCCATCCAGAACAGCCGGGAGGAGGTTCTTTAGCTTGGGCCGAGCGGTTCGACTCCCCGCGACACGTCGGCTCACACGAATCAGCAGGGTTGTGAACCCCGGGTGCATCCTGCTCCCAGCGCAGGAAAGGGAGGGGACGTGATCCTGCTCCGGGTGCCAGAGAGGAAAACGCTCAAGCGCCGCGGGTCAGGGAACCAGCGGCGTGGCACCGGCAGCTTCGAGAAGTCAAACAGGTCGTGTCTCGGTTCTAGGAAAAATCGCTTAGCTTTGGGGGAAAGGCCAAAGGATTATATGAACTTTATCAAGTTCCTCAATCTGAAGTTAATTAAAGGTGAAGCGGGACACTCTACAAACACAGGATCACAAAACCACCCAAAGGCAGAAACGCCCAAACCGGAGCTTCAAGAGACTCAGAACACTGGGGACTTTTACAGCAAACTGGAAACATGTCGGACAATTTCCTTCTTAAACAAATATTTATTTACGTTTACTTTCGCACAAAGTAAGCCCATGTTCTAGAGCTTTGTTTTTTCCTTTTCATGTAACTGTTACAGCATGTCAAGAGCGACGCACTGTGACATCAGGGTCAGATCTGCTGGTTAATAAACATTATTTCTATTGGTCACAGTTGCTGGGTTTTTAGCTAAGATCAAAACAAACAAATAAACAAAATCAACCCGCTGCTTCACAGATATTTACCATGATTTCTCCCTTACCCTGCAAGAAGGCAAACTCACTTCCACATCTTAAACTTCCCTCAGTTTCCCGGCAAGAGATCCGTTCCCCCTACCTGCGTCACCGTTGGAAAGCGGGGCCGAAACTCCCGCAAGGGCCGCGAGCGTGGCGAGCACGGAGGTGGTCGAGTTGGAGAACTGCACCGGGGAGAGGTTCGAGTCGCCTGCTCGGGAGAGACGAGGGCAAACTGAGGGACTGTCAGGGCCTGCCACACCTCAACGGTCAATAAAGCAGTTGCAACGCGACCGTTTGGTCATCGAGAGATCCAGATGTCGGGTATGAAGCATTTTCTGCGCTGCCACTGGAGAAAGGGAGGCGAGTACAGCTCATTTTTCAGGAGAGGTGCCTCTCCTAAGTGTGGAGAGGGCTTTGACAATACTTCAGGGCAGGCTGTACCCACTCTGAGCACTTTATGATAATTTTAATTGAATTTAAAGCAACTATTTCATTAAGTCCCGTCTGAATCGCGTCCCAAAACAGCAACCATGAACCAACTCACTCCGAATTTACTCTAAGAACTACAGGGTGGCAGAGCCGCGGCTTTGAGCTGGAGACGTGGATGTTTTTTTTGAGATACGCAGCCGTGCCGGAGCCCGACCGCTGCCTCGCTGCTACGCACGTCGTTACTCGGCATCGCGGCACGCGGAAGCTTTCGAAATTGCAAACCCTAAAGAATATGTTAAGCTCGGGGGCTGTTAAGTGTGAATCACAGCACCCGAGTCCTTCCTCAGTTGGGAAAGTCTCCAAGCCCAGTTTTCAGTGTTAATTCACGGATCAAACATTTCGGCACAGGCCAGTTAACGGAGCCTCGTGCCCCAGCGCAGGAACTGGCCCCGCAGAGCCCTTGATTTCAACGAGGCACGCAGGCCCTTTCTTCCTCCCCTCTCAGGTTCTTTTTTTTTGGAAAGACCCCGGTTACTGCACCGGGGTATTGATGTGAATGAGATAAACAAGCCTCGTTTCCAAAAAAACAATGTTTCTTCCTCCAATTGACCATAGAAACTCCTATTCAAAGGCAGACTTCATAAGAATGGGACAGGAAATTAACTAAACGGGCGCAAACTCACTGCATAGAACCCACAATTCCTCTAAAAAAAAAGCAAGCGATCCTGTAGCTCATTGCCAGCACAGATAAATACGATTACGAGCACACAAAGGGAAGTTCATCTAGAGTTCCCCTGCCCTAACCCTTGCAGCCTATTTTCCCTCTTTCTCCCCGGCTCCTCATTTTCCAAAGGTTATCAGGGGAGCTTGTTTTCCAAAGAATAGCACTTCCAGGAGGCCGTGGGCTGGGCACGGGAAAGCACCGCAGGCCTAGCGACTGTTTTCGGCAGCTGGTAGCCAGGTTTCTTCAGACCAGCTACAGATATAGATTTTAAAACTTCCTTTTTTTTTTTTTTTTCCAGCAATGGAAGAAATAGGAAATTTAAGCGAGGTGAGAAGAATTACTGAAGTAAGAGATTTTTGTGGCGAGGAAGGCGCAGTCGTTGACGCCCTCTTGAGGGAAAGGAGCGGCAGTGAAGCTGGCATCACCCGCGGTCCAAAAATCCCAAGTTTTGCGCCTTTTTGAGTCTGTGCAATATCCCAGACGTTTTGTCACGCTGTGTTTCCCTCAGGGCTGGAAGCGGAACGCTTTGGGTCATTTCTCCCCTCCTAAATCAGGGTCTGTCAGTGCCTCGAGAGCAAGTCTGGAGCGACGCCGAGGTCGCTGTGGGCAGGCGCAGGCACAGAGGTCAGGGTGGGAGCGCATTTGGGATTTTAGAAGCCCTCTCTAGCTAATAAGCAAACGTTCCTGCATGTGAACGGTCCCACTAACCAAAGAATTACTCACATGCAGAAGTGTTTGCAGGATGAGGCCAAACTGCTTCCCAAAACTTGTGTTGAGTAGCCTCCTTGAGAAAAGAAACAACGGTTTGGATTTCCCCAAACACTTTTAAGAGTTACTATGAAAATCAGAATTACACAAAAAGAATTCACGTTCAGCCTCAAAAGTGTTTTCCCCACCAAAACAAGGAGGAACCTAATTATCTCCCTGTAACGCGCAAGACAGAAGAAATAAGGAGCAACCTACAGACCTGCTCACTCTGCAATTTCCTCACTCAATGTTTACGTGTGTAGCAAAAACATTCACTCAGCTCTGGTGGCCAGTCAAGAACAAAGCAAACTGTTCCCCAACCGCTCTGCACAGGCAGGAATTCTCACTATTTAACCAGCCAAGCCCGTTTTCTCGAGCCCTGGTGCTCCTACGAGCCGCGGAGCAGCCCCACAGCTGAGCTCAGCGGCGCTCTGCAGCTCGCAGAGAACCACCTTTGTTTCCCACAGCTCAAAATCTGCTTTGTTACCTTCACAGCAAAACCACTGTGGGGCAGGAAGCAGCAGCTGGGCGTGTTTGGCCACGTTTCACCACTTTTCCTCTACGAAATGACTATCTGCCCTCTGCTGGTAAGCACTCTTAAAAACTTGGTTCAAGACTTTCCCCCTTAAGGTCACATAAAACCTCACCTGGGGTTGTTTCGGCATTTGCTGAAGAGACGAGACGGCTCAAGCTGAGAACTTCCCCCGGTGCAAGAATGAACGGCGAGGCGAGAGTCACCGCGTTGGGGACAGGACTCGTTCCCTCTGGGTGAGGGCTCACCTGGTTCTGCATCGCTTCCTAGGGAAGAGAGCGGGGTCAGGCACACCTTCGTCATGCTTTCCGAGGTATTAAACACCCCCGAAACGTTTTTGAGGCACGTTACTTCTGTCTGCAGTGCAAAAGCTGGGGAAAAAGTGCCACCTCAACTTGGCAACTCGCACCACAGAGTCCCAGGAGGGATGCACCACGTCATCTAGAGAGGAAATAAACCTCGTCCACCTCCCTGTTCCCCTCTGCAAACACAACACGATCCCGTCAGACCCAACAGGACCCCCCTGGCAGAGTTGTGGGTCAGAGAGTTTCCAAGTTTCTCCCTCCTCGACCCACCTGGAGCATTACCAGAGTCTCTGGATTGTTCTTGTCCAAAGCAATATCAAAAGCCGATTTATCGAACTTGCTGAAAGCGTGGACGTCAGCTCCGTACTTGATGAGCAGCTCTACGACGTGGCGGTGGTTGCGCTCTGTCGCCCAGTGCAGCGCCGTCATTTTCAGCACGTCCTTGGCGTTTACGTCGGCCCCGTTCTGCAAGAAATCACCGTCACTTGCCCGCACGCCACCTCCTCTCGGTGTCTCAACGGTGGTGCCTGCACTGGCATTTAAACAGAGACACCCCGAGGGTGATTTAGACCGGCCTTAAAGTTACACCCAACTGACTACACTTACCCTGATTAGCAGTTCTACGAGGGGAGCGTGTCCGTCAGCCGCGGCCACGTGTAGCGGCGTCCGGTCCACTTTTGTTCGGGCATCTCTGCTCACACCAGCTCGAAGCAGCACTTGTGCTGTCGAGTAGTGGCCGTGCTGGGCAGCGAGGTAAAGAGGTGACGTCCCGAGCTGCGGGTGGAGTCGGAAGAGTTTCTGCCCCATTCCCAGCGAGAGAGGACAGGCACAGTAATCCCCACGTGTGTGATTAAAATGACAAGGCTTCCAGAACAAACTAATTTAACTTTTCTTCCTCCGCTTAGAACCAGGGGGCTACACTCCAGCTGGAATCTGCTCCGCCGCAGAAATCCAGAGGTGCGTTTTCCGCTAATCCACGCTCTGGTTTTCCCGCTCCGATTTCCATCAGTAGCCTTCGAGTTCAGCCCCGAGGAGCGTGCGACCCGTTTCACAGAATCAC